GTGGGCGCTGAAAGTCATCTTTTAAAACTCCTCCTTTTATACAGTTGTGTTCATTGAAGCTTGATTTCACATATTTTGTCGGGAGAACTGTTGAAAATTAAGACACTGCCATTAGCAAACAGTTCTGAAAATTCTACAACGCAGTCTCTGACGTCGACGCTTCAATTTTAAATTCTTTTCATATGGAAGGTTGTATTGGTCTACCAACAGACCGGTGTACTAAACAAGAATCGTGTACCTTTGGTTGAAGGTGCTTCACCGAAATTCCATTCGCCGTTGCTTCTGTGGATCGAGAAATGGGCATAATTTTTCTCGCGCTTTATTTGAATTGCGATTCTCATTCGCCTTATGCCCCGATCATCGCCGGGTTCGATTCCAGTTGACAGCAATCCTCGCCTTGATTGCGAATTCCTTTGAGCAACGAATTCACCACACGTGGCATCAGACTCGTGTTGCACGATCCATGGAACGTCAGACTCAGAACAGGAGGTCGAAAGTTTGAACCCCGGTCGATGTCACAGCATTTAATTCACTGGCAGTTCTGATATTCAGGATCTGCTTAGTTTCAGACGAAACTAAAATTAGAGATCAACACATTCTCAATTTCTCAAACAGTCTTGGACGCAAACATGCCTATTTTGGACATCAGTAATATATTAGCCCATATATCCACTTGTCGTCATCTTTCGTACTAGGGTTAGTCCAGTAACGTACGTTATGATCGGAATTTCATCATCTTACGTTGAGGATTAGTGCACACGTGATCCTCAGTCCTTACGTGACAGCTTGTAATTTTATTATCATTTTCTAGCGGAACCGCTTAAGAAAGCATATAAAGCTTTTTCAACGCCAGTTGATTCAATATCTTTAACTGACCGTTTCGACATAGGTGTTCATGGCGGAGGTACGGCTGAAGTATATACATTGCCATTCAGAGTGTCAGTTCGTCCGTAATGGTATGGACCGAAACTAATTTGCTTTTGAACTTGGTATATCACTGTGTGGTTTCTAACGCATTATTGCCTAAGCCTAGACTTACATCGAAACCATGGCGCAAACTTAAACATGTACCAAAAAGGCTGAGGACTGAGTACAAGGGTGGGATTCGTGATGATCAATAAACCACAGTATTACCGACTTGAACTGAACCGCAAATCAGTTTCGTCCATACCGGTATGGGTGGACTACCACTGCGGACGATAATATGTGCACTTAAGCATATTTTATCGTATTATGTCATGCAGTGTCACTGACAGCTGTTTACAATGGTGGTACTAAAGAGGTTATGCTGTAGAGAGTATGCACTGACAGACAATCACCCATTTAGACGGATATTCCGTTCCAATTCTGCCACACATCGTTAGTTACTGTGAGCAACAGCACCACTCCGGCATTGTTTAACCTCAGTTATCGTAGCAGCAGCCATCACAATGCCTCGAGTCAATTCCGGACGATATTTCCATAAAGATATTACACGTTAATCCGTATAATTTGCATGTCCGAGATCTCCGATCACGCATAGGTGATGGCGACATCACGAATAAGACTAAAGCTATACTTTCACATTTTAAAATATTCAAAACGAGGCAAAGGTTAGGCTCCTTCCCTTATACCGAAAAGTTCTTTCATTTGCAATCAATTGAATCCGGTTTGCTGCCGTAGGGTCTGTCGAAGTTATTGCACCAACTGTGTACATGGCAACGCCGTACGGCCGCCCTGCTTCCAGGTGCGTATAGCAACAACTGAGGCAATCCACTGCTTCATAGTATTTGAATTCCCATGGGATATGGGCCCAAAGGCCGCATCCCTCAGTTCGAACGAAAGAATGTTTGTCATCACGCAAGCTGAAAGTTGTTGCTGGAAGCAAAACATGCCATTAGCTATGATAATGCATAATTGCCTGAAAGCATTAAAAAACCTAGGGTGCCATTCGTTCTTCAGTGCAGAATAAAACCACTGAAATAAATAAATCAGTGAAACGGAAAGGCCGTTTTAGACTAATTACAAAGCACCAATTTATCTTCACCTGTGATAGCATAGCGATACATTGTTCACTTCTGTTGGGTAGTCCTAATTCTGGATACAGTATATCTATTTTCGTAAAATATGACCACACGCATACCTTATAAATCCGTAGCAGCGAGGAAATATCTTCATTTTAAAAGCAAGAGAATTACAGCTTTTTCCAGATATCTATGTGATTGGCGTTTCAACGTTTCAGCTGGCATATTAGGCGATCACATTTCAATTCATGGAGTAAGACAACAAAAATATTCTAACTACTAGCAGCGATATTTAATTTCTTATTCGAAGACAATCCTTACGTTATTACTGTTAATTGGGAACCTAACTCTGACGTTGCCTTTTGATATGTAATAATAAGCTTCATCTGTGAAGGATTATGAGATGAAGCAAAACTGATGATCTGTGTTCCTTAGGCTCTACTGTCTATTATGTCTGCTGTGCGATTCTGTACATTTTCATACGCTATCCGTTCAGAGTCCATGTTAAAATTAAAAGGTTCTGCAATGAAAAGATTTCATTAAGCTTTCGTTGCTAATTAATTTGGACAATGGCCCCCAATCCGACAGTAACAAGTGAAAGAGTTTGCATGTCTAGCAACTCTGGACTACTGCCGTCGCATCACATCACCGTTTGTGGGTTCAGTACAGATCCTCATCGCTGTGGAGAAAAACTCACCGTTGTTCTTTTTGAACGTGTTCCCTTATTTTGATCGTTATTCGTCCTCCGCGACTTGATGATCTCGGTCAAATGTGAAAAACTGCAGCGATGAGGATTTATCGCATTTTACCAGCCGCTTATGACATACTGTCATAAACTAGACAGTGGAAATGATTACAGTCAATAATCTTATTCACACAATCCATAAATATTCATACAGACCACTGGAAGCTAAATCTGAGACTGGGTCCAACAGGCTTTTCCGTACTAACCCTGAAGTGGAAGATTTTATTCAATTTCTCACTTGACCAGGAGGCCAGCTTGCAGCATGGACGATCGGGGTATAAACAGCTTTGCTCTTCGAGTGGCATATTTCGTTTTACTATGCAGTAATCGGTGCATTACAACATAAGTCTTGAAAAGCTACGGATACAGCGGACACCGAAAGCCAGAGACCTCTGTTTATGGTTCAGGTTCAAGGTGACGATCTCAATAAACAACAAACAACAACAACAGCAACTGTCAAGAAAACTCCAATGGCAAGGTCAGATGGAAGAGGATCAACGGCAGAACGGAGAGAATGACGAATGACCAAGGAGAATGCTGAACATCTGTCGTACCTTCGAATTCGGCTGATAGAGCTTGTCTGATTTGGACACTACAGGAACAATGGAGAACATTTCCATACGATGCTACGTCCGCAGCATAAACGAGACAGTCAGCGCTGAAGCTGGATCGATGGTCCATTTTCAGACGAGAGAACGTCCTCAGGGAATCTGGGATATCGTAAAAACGGTACTGTAACCTTTTCATCACGGCGTCTACTCTGTGAACTAATGATGACGGGTAACGTACGGTCGCAAAATCGACTGAAGCATAATGCAAACATTTTTTCGTTCAGTTGTTCATCTGCGTTTCGCTGTTTTACTTGTTTTTGTTATGTTACTGTATGACAGTGTAACAAACCGAATCAGTAAAACGATTAACTACTTAATCCACTATGGTGATAACTGTCAGTAGTGATAAACGTTATTCTGGCCAAGGCTGCGTCGACGTCCGTACGGCAAGTCGGCCATGGACAGACGATTGCGATAATTTTTTCATCACGCACTTCGTGGAACTTTTTCCGCTACTACTTTGCAGTCACTCACTGAAAATGCCATTCACTGGCCACTCGACTGAAATCACGTAAGTCACACACTCGTCCAGTGACTCAGATTACGATACCATCAACGCCCTGACTTTAATCACCGTTTGCATCTGAGGTGTTCTGTTTTTCAGCAACCCGTTGCCACTTGTCGACGCAAAACGAGGGTAGGGCCGGCGACATTTCGTTAATCGACGATCGACCATCATCGTTAAGCACATGATTCACGAAAGCGCGAAATGACGAACGTAGTGATTAGAGTCACCGATCGCGAGTATCGGAACTCAATGGTGAAACAAACGTGGTACACGAAAGTACGAACTACTATGCAAGCCAATAACCCTATCCTGCAACAGAATATAATGCACGAGTTCCTAGTTCATAGGGCGCGACCCAGATGGGGTCGAGAAGGGTTTTCCGTGGGGTCGCCAGCTGAAACAGTAAGCTAAAAAATTGATTGCTTTTAAACCAACTTTTATTTTTAATCGGTGTCAATGTTCAATAATATGACATTTTTAATATCATCGAATATAACCAATAAAAATAGGAATAGTTGCATATTTTTCTGTATATGTGGCATATTTGCAGGTGTCTGAATAGGCTCATGTTCGGCTCTGACTAGTGATGAGGTTTTGCATCCATGCACCGCAATGACTCAAATACCATGGAGCTCTGGCCCGCTTAAATAGTCCCTTAGGCCACTAGAGGCAAGGAGAGGGTGCTTACGCCGCTTCAATCCAAAACTGAAGTGAGTTTAATTGTTTCCAGTGGAATACTAAAGCGACCCATAGTCATAAACATAAGCGCAGACCCTAGAATTTTAACATAAACAGTCTTTTAGAAACAGGAAACAAAAATTATCGATTTTCATTATAATCTCAGGGCAATTTAATCCTAACTCCATAACTGGCATAAAACAATTAATCTAGAAAACATCGTCTTGTTTGAGAAACCCTGCAGTATGGCAGACGAATATGAAGATGAATTACATGGCAATTCGAAAGAAGAGATTGCTGAGCATCTTGAATCTTTTGAAAACGAACTCCAGAGTAATTTCCATAAGCTGACAGAAGAAGAAGCTGCACTGGTACGAAATCCGTTCTCTGCTTTCTTTGATGTAGTCAGCAATCCCCATGGAGTACAAGATTAAATCTTGGATCTGCACAGCGATTCCTCGGCAAGCAACTTATTTCGTGAAAGTTGGTGACTCATTTCTGATGTGCTATGCATCATTCATGTCCAAATGTCACAATGCTTGTTTTTAGAGTTTTACACCCATTTGCTTCTATATTTCTCTGTGAGAATGGAGTGTCAACGCTTCTTCATTTGAAAACCAAAACAAGAAACAGAATAAACTTCGAGAATGACATAAGGTTGGCATTAACGAAAACTCAACCGCGAATTTCGAAGCCTGTTGATGGGCTACAATTTCAATCATCGCATTAAGTATGTCATAAGTTATAATAATATTGAATTATATTATACTGAAAAATCTGTTTCCTTTTACGCTATTATAACCCTTTTAAATGTATCGGGGTCGTGCGTCACTTTGCTTCTATAAAATGGGGTCGTAACTTGATAATGGTTGGCTACCCG